ACAAACAAAAAGAGAGAAGAGTTAAAAAGGAGAGCGCACGCGCAAAAGAAGAAAGCGACAGAGAATGAGAGAGAGAAAGAAAAAACAATGCAAAGCGCCTCCCCCCCCCCCAGCAGTAGGAGATTTTGGGACTGTGGTTCCGTCCCCGGCGTCTGCGAGGCCACACTGCTGGACGGAGCGACTCTTCGGCCTCAGCCCCCTAAGCAGGAGGAGAAAGGCCTTCCCGTAAAAAGTCGGCATCATAAGTCAACGCTTTATTAGGACTCTCTCCCTCTTTTTTTTTCCCCGGTTTTTGTTTTTTGTGGGTTTTTTTAAGAAAAAAAGAAAGAAGGAAAAAAAAAACCCAGCTTAGAAAAATCCCTCGAGAATCACCATGGTCCTGGGTGTCTCCTTTAAAGAGCTGGTGCCCGGCTCCCTTCCCTCCTCCGGGACGGGGTGGAGGGCGTGCAGAAGCTACATGCGCGAAGACGGGCTGGCCAACTCGTAGAAAAGTAGGTAGGCATCGCTGCTCCGGACGTGGCTGGACGAGAGCGGCGTGACACTGCCGGGAGAAGGAAAAAGGAAGAGGGAAGGGGGTTAGGGGTCCGTTCTGGCAGTGACAGGAAGGCTGCTGCCCCCAGGTTGAGAAAATCCTGGAGATTTGGGGAGAGGGGAGTCTGGGGAGGGCAGAGTTTGGGAAAGGGAGGGATGCACGACATCTGGCCAGGGCCTCCTTGCTTCTGTATCCTAGACATCTATTTCAGGACTGTCTACTCTGTGTGCAGTGGCTCTCCAGGATCCTTAAGCCGGAGATGCTAGGGATGAAATCGCGAGACCTTCTGCATAACAAACAGGTGCTCTACCCATGGGCTATAGAAGAAGAAGGAGAAGAGATTGGATTTTCACCCCGCCCTTCACAAGAACATAAGAGATGCCAATGCTGGATCAGGCCAAAGGCCCCTCCAGTCCAACACTCTGTATCACACAGTGGCCAGAAATACCAGGTGCCATCAGGAGGTCCAGCAGTGGGGCCAGGACATTAGAAGCCCTCCCTCTGTTGACCCCCCCAAGCACCAAGATGACAGAGCATCACTTGCCCCAGAGTCCCTATCTATACCTTGTGGGTAATATCCACTGATGGACCTCTGCTCCATATGCTTATCTAATTCCCCTTTGAAGCCGTCCATGCTTGTAGCC